ATTTATGTTAACTTTTTGTGAGTAAATAATAAAAATTAGATTATTAAAAATACATATGTTATGAGAAATATTTGTATTTTTTATATTATCATCGCCGTTAGTTCAATAAAAAGTAATTTTAGGCAGATTTTGAAAGCACAATTATAACTTATAATTCTACTTAAATTAAAATAAAGATTATTTCGCATTTATACATGAATTCATTATAAATTGATTTTAAATTAGCTTTTAATTATTTGCAATTATAAGTTTAATAAATTAAGTACAAATTAATTTTTAAAACAAATTTTTGAATTTTATTTTGTAAAATAACCATAAAAACATAGACGATAATTAATTGATGCAATTAAGATTTTGTTACTTATCGTCTAATAAAGGCAATTATTCTTATAAAAGGAAGCATATTATCCAAACAATAGATCAAATTAATAGAAAATTGTTCCACTCAGATATTCATTATTCAGACGGACATAGAATAGTTTGAAAAGGATTTTACAAGAGAGAAAGTTACCTACAAGATACGTTGAGCATCCAGCCGTCCTCTAAAGTACTGTCTGGCAATCTCGGGTTATCAGCTTTGCAAGACAAGTACTTGCCATTATCATCTCCAGATGGCCAGAATGTTAAGATAGAAGTCGTGTGGTTTCCGCTCGAAGGAATTCTCTCTGTACTATTCATCAACTGGTCATTGTCTTTCCACCAAGTTATGCGAGCTGGAGGTCTAGCTCCAGCAGAAATGCAAACCACTTCGACTTTTGATTCAGCAGAAAATGGTCGTTTAATCGACGTAATTCGTACATCCAATGGTTTCACTAAGTAGAAGAATAATACATGATGTATATTTATATTTATTTTACGTAGTTTCTACTTTTATAGTCACGATTGAGGTCAATATACAATGCGCTATACTGTGTTTATGGCTGTTTCTTTACATTTAGTGAATAACATACAAAGCGACTTTTATATTTCTATACTTAGAACTGTTATAACACAATATATAACTTGAAACTTTTTAAAAAGGCTATATACAATGCAATAAACATAACCATAAATATTTACATTTACGTTGCAAATATTATTTGAATATCATAAAATATTTCCCCCTAATTCGATTATTTATTATGTAATTTTTTGTTAAATAATGTGTATAAAAATAAAAAAGCAAACTATCATAAATTTTCTACAGTTGGTTGACTCTTTAGTATAAATTATAATTCTTGAATTAAAGCTTAAGATTAATTAACAAAATATTGATCAATTTAATTTAATTTCCACTTATCTGATGCTTGTTATTAAAGAAAAGACTAGAAAGAAATATTTCTTTCAAAACTAAAACGTTAGACAATCAATTTAAAAACTAGTTGTTGAGCTAGGGTTGTGTATTTGTTTTTGTAAAACTATCAATACAAGTATGAATGGTTTTCTATTCTTTGAATTTCTATTTCTATACTTACAATTGAGATCAATAGTGACGGATGCTACTATAGGAGCAGTAATGTTGCTATTGTGCGTTTGACACGTCAACATAGTCATCAAATCGGAACGCTGTAATCCACGAATAAGAACGTCATTTCGAACCACCCCATCTCCTACGACTTGATAACTATCGTCTAAAAGTGTATATTCTCTCCACCAAGTGACCACCGGTGTGGGTGTTCCTACGAAAGTAAAAGTAAAAATTAGACTATTTAAATTCTTTATACTGTATTTAACATATGCAATCTGTAATTTAAGTGTAATTTTAGTTGGTTTCAAGCAAAATTCGAATAAATATTTTATTCCGAAAAGTATCGTTAACAGTATCTTCTATGAACCACGTATATTTCCATTAAATAGTAATTAGGAACAGTGTAGATGGAGAATGAAAACTGTTGTTATCGGAAGCAGACTCTCGTCCGGACTTATTTCCATAGAGATTGCTTCGAATGCGCATGTACCCATCGATTTTCCCTTAATAACAGTACAACCAAGAAATTGAAGAGTGCCATCAACGGATGTGGCTGATCGGAAAATAAGATACTAATCCTCTCTTGTCACTCCAAATGAATGTTACCTTAGCAACCACAGGTAATGTACCGAGTCATCTCCAACTGTTTAAAGTCAGACGCGTGTCTTCCCAATCTGTTCTAAAGTCAGCATTTGATTGATAGAACTCGTCTACTCCTGTGGCATCATCGCCTTCTCTATGATAATATCTTACGATATTAAAATAATATATAAATCATGCCGTTCTAGGAAAATTAACATTTTAAATGTAACTGCTTCGAAGTTTTAAGATTGATTAAAATTAGAATTAAGAAAAACGCTTATATTTTCTTACCTCCTGAAACTTCACACCTTAAAATAAGATCTGAATCTTCATCATAAGGACCAATAACGCCTGACACTTCAGTTCCTTCTTCATCTATGATGGTTATATCCTTAGGAGGGACTAATTAAGAAGATTTAAATTTTAATTTAAAATGTATTTTATTTTTTACATAATTTTTTTAACATTTTAATAAAATATTTATTCAACTTTTTAAGTTTTATATACAGTATACAAGTACATAATTTTTGTTTGAATTTTAAACCCGCACGTTTTAAACATCTCAGTATTTCGAATTTTATACCTTGGTAAAATGAAAAGTAAATATTTTGTCTATTGAATTTCTGAGCATTTTGGAGACATTACTTATGGAATATTTATCGAGATATCTAAAGTTTTAAAATGTATGAGTTTATCGAGCTGAATCACGTTAAAAATAAAGAGTACATTTAATGTGAGTATTAGAAAACATTTATTGATTGAAAATATTATCTTACCGATAACATTGAGGAGTGCTATTGTTGTATAAGTTCGTGCCCATCGAAAATCTACTCTGCATCTATATTCCCCAGAATCATCTTCTTGCACAGGATCTATTTTCAGTAAAGCTGGCCTTGTAAGCATGTTAAAGGTAGCTCTTGATCCTAGAGCTTCTGAAGGAAAATGTTTTGCCTTATCGAGAGCACTATTTCTCGCATCCACGCTGTACATTGGCACTCTAGATTCTCCCTTGTACCAAAGGATAAGAGATACTTTATCGTTATGTGAAGGCACTGTAATATTACATGGAAGTTCTGCTTTTCTTCCTACAACGGCTTGATACTCCGGCAAAACTGGAAATCAAAAGATACGAAATAATTGTTTTTATGTACATAGTTACCAGCTCTTCGATATAGCAACTTGGAGTGACAAGATACTCGTTAGCGAGTCGGCGACATGTCGTCATTTGTCAAACGAGATGAAAAGAAAAAAGAAAGTCAGGAAGTCAGAAAATTTTTTCCTAGCTTCCATCTTATTTTATTTTACTTTCTTGCATCAGGTTAATAAAGGCTGATGAAATATGGTTATCAAATTTAGATGTCTGGAATGCATCGCTTTTACCCCCATAATATTATATTACAGTTGTAAGTAATAATGGAAATAAATAGTTCTCTGTTTAATATAATTTCTTGTTTTTTTTAGTGAAGCAACCTGGATGTTCTTCAATCTTATCTCATCTACAACTAATGGTACTTGCTAATTGATACAGCAAGTAAAACAACTTGCTGTCGATCGTATTCATACAGTGGATAAAACTTTTCTGATTAATTATCTAATTATATAAATTTAATAAATGAAATATCAAATTGATGGTTGTCATTTGTTTTGATTAAATTAATTATTATACATTTATTTAATAATATTTTGTTAGAGTATATAATTAAATTGATTTTTTTAACTTAATTATTCCCAATCAAGATTCCTCACTAAGTGAGAACTAGAAAGTAAATATATCCTACTGATATTTAATTACTTTTTACTATTTTCTAGTTTTAATATTAAATAAATGATGTTATTTTCGACTCATCATAATTATTAATTCAGATGTTTTAATCTTTCATTAAATATACGTATTGTATTGGATCATATCGATAAAAAAATCTAAATTAAAATTGTTTACACTAGAATAATCACCAAATACGAATATTTTTTAAATACTTTTTTTTATTAAAATCTAAAAAAACGTTTAGAAATATTTATAAAATACTTATTTTCAAATAAGATATGGAATATAAAACATATTCTAAGTACATTATAATGTCATGTTTTTAGGAATTAAATTTTGAGTAAACATATATTAATTTTGTTTAAATTTAATCCAAAAAAAATTCTTTCTTTACATAGAAAAAAATATTTCAATTTAAAGTTTCATTTAAAAAGAAACTAAATCTACTCTTGGAATTATTTTATTTGAAACTGTATTAAATCTGTTGAAAAGTCTGATTCAAAATTAATTTTATCCTAGAATGTTAGAAAGAAAAATAAACGAAAGCGTGATTTTTATCAAATTTCAATTTTCGACATCTTCTATATCTGAAAATATCGAGCAAATTTTCTTGATAAAATTTAGCAGTTTTGATGATAAAAATTGCATTCTATTGTTAGATTCAATAAGAATATAAGCATATATTGTCCGTTATATAATCAATCTATTCAATAAATATTGAATTTAATAATAATATAAACAAGTATATGAACTTTCTTTGATGTAATTGTTACAAATTCACTATTAAATATTTTATTATTGACAGAAAAAAATCTGTTTCTTAAGATAAAGTGATTTAAAAATTTAAAATAATTTGTAATAGAATGTTAATTTTATTTTAACCGAAATTTTGAAAGTTCAAATAAAATAATATTATATTAATACTTGTTACATTAATAAAATATTATGAATATTTTATTGAGAAGGTTAGTTTCTGTTGGAACAGATAATCAAAACTACACTTAGACTTCGACTAAATAGTTTATAAAGATTATTTAAAGTTTTAAATTACTGATAATTCAGATATTTTAATACTTTTGTGTAGATAATAAAGGAGGTATTGTCTGTGCTTTGAATCGGACTTAAAACTTGAAGAGATTATGCTCAATATGCGAGAGGAAGAACCACAAATTATGAAGTCTCTCAGCCGGCAATGATAGACGAGAAGAGAAATGAAGCATTTTTCACTCTTATTCTGTCGTCTTCGAGTCGTTGGATTAAAGGACACTCATTTGTGTCGTCTGACATGTTCATTAGAAAGGACACTCCCAACAATTGTAAATGGGAACGAGTTCCTAATTAGCTATGCCTTGTATCTAAAGCTAGGCAGCATGCTTGTTGTTGGTATGCAAGGTATGAGCATGACTTGTAAATGTGGTGCTGCTGACTCATTACACCAGAGTTTGTCATCAGCCAAGGGTAATTAATTAAAGATTCCTTTGGATATTGGTTGTAATTTTTCGCACCGATGAATTTGTAAGAAAGATTACACTATTAATAGTCAACATTTATATTATTCCTGAGACAATTCTTTGCTTGAATTCTAAGATTCAAACATGCATTGTCTAACAAATACTTTTCTGAAAGAATTTAAATATTCAAATATAAATGTTTGAAACATTGCTTTTAATTATAAATAGTATAATTAATGAATTTTATTTGATACGTTGCACGGTCAAATTCAGATTAAATTTTGTTAAGGTTATCGTTAAATTCCCAGAAAAGGGATAAAATTATAGATCCATTATTCCCTTGAGTTTTCTCTCAACTTTTAGATAAGTTGTGTACAATATTGATGAATGTAAATTCTATTATCGCTTTTAATTTCAGCAATCGCATACAATTCATATATTATGACCTGAAATTTCTAATTATAATTGAAGGTACAGTAGTTTTGATTGTTTGCAGTTAGTTTCAAAAATCATTTACAGTTTGGTTGCATGAAATATTTGCTGCTATAATATAAAAGAAAAATATTGTGTTTTTAAATACATTTTTTTTTTTAAATCGAAACTTTTATAGGTTTAGTTTTAAATCTATGGAAAATAAAATCCTATAGATAAAATGATTTACCGAAAGCCAAGATTCTAACACACACTGATAAGACTTCTGACATAGAACTCATAAGAAAGAAAGAACATCCAAATCATTTTCTTGAAAAATTCGGTATGACGGATAAAAGAATACCAAAAATACACCAGAATGTCTACAGTGCCTTCACGTAATGCTATTTTGCCAGCATCACCGTTAAAATCAAACCTTGAGAGGTGTCAGATAAAGTTACTGTCTATCTTGTCATATGTTGTCAAGAGTATTCTTTTAATAGAAGAGATGAAAATAAGAAAGCATCTATCGGAAGAAGTCAATTATTTGTTTTGTGTATACTACTATTCCTATCAATCTTCACGAAAATTCATTGAATTTCGCGTAATAAAAATGTCAAAACATGATAAATTTGGAAATTTTACTACAGTATCCTCAGATTTAAATCGTATTTCTACAACGACTGTCAATCTTTTGAAATATTTTAAAAACTTTCTACAAAGCTTTATTGTCCGGATTGTCAAATAGGAATATTTTAATATTTTCAGATAATTTATTTTTAAGCATTCAGCTTTGTATAAGATTAGATGTTATTTATGAAGACAATCAAAGTTGGTCAAAATTTAAATTAAGTGTAGGGTGAATATGAAATAAGCTTTGTATCGCAGCATTCAAAAGAATTATTCGTGTAACTTCAGACTTAGAATATAATATCTACTTGTATATTACTCATCTTATTATTCATTTAGATTAATTCATGCAAATGTTACAAGAAAATGGATTTTTTAAAAGCAATTACACTTAAGTTTTATTAAGTTAAAAATTCTATTAAAATTTGTTTAAGAATTTTTACGCTTTATAAATAATTAAAAATAAATTTTAGTACATTAATGATTGTTATCCTCAACATACATAAAAAAAGTTAATTTAAATAATCAACATAAATTTAAAATTTTTGAATTTTATTATTAATAACAATTTTTAAATTATATGAACTATATTAGTCACTACTCTATATAAAGCAAAGGTTTATTGTTTAAACTTAATTTATAATCTAAAAAAAAATCAAACAAAACTACCCTTATGCAGAAATAATTCAGCAAGAAAAAAGCATAGAGTTTCTTGTAGTAGAAAGCAATTTACCAGATAAAACAGCACGCTTGAAGTATTTCATTAAATTACAAGAAATGAAATCACTTTTATTATTTCTCTCCACGTATTGCATTATAAAAAGGAAAGGTAGTGAATATTACAATTCGTTGGTATGTTGGAGTACTTTGAGTGTACAATATAGGATTTCTAGTCGGCTTCTCACTCACATCTATCACAGATTAAATATTGCAAAGACAGTAAGAAACATGAGAGTTGACGGACGGAATATTTTCTTCGGTTTACTGCTCGAGATTCTATTCAGTGAAGTCCTTCAAGGGCTATTCTACATGCGTCGCCAACCCAATGATAAGGTGATGTTCTTGTTCGGTTGGCACTAGAGGATTACGAAGTTTCGCATCTGAGAATGGATACGGAAGACATACAGATACTATGTATGGAATTGTGAAAGTATGAATGAAAAGAAAAGGCGTTATTATGGATCCCTACAGACGAGCAGTCAGTCTTTTTTTCGACTGTAACATATTTCTGTATTTATTTGGTTTGCTGCATTTTGGGGATCTATTCAGCAAAACTTTCTATATCCATTTATTATTTCGTTTCAAGAATGATACTATTATATTCGCTTTATTACTCTATATGCTAAGAAAGATTAACTCGTTGATTTATACGATTTTTAAAAATTTATAAGACGAGATGTACCGTACATTTTTTACTTTATTTCTTACGAAAATAAAAATAAATGAATTTGGAAATGTTGTTTCTTCTCTCTGCCTTCTTAACTTATACATTATATATATAAAACATATATATTTATAATTAATGTATTAGCCTGTAGTACATTATAATGTCATGTTTTTAGGAATTAAATTTTGAGTAAACATATATTAATTTTGTTTAAATTTAATCCAAAAAAAATTCTTTCTTTACATATAAAAAAATATTTCAATTTAAAGTTTCATTTAAAAAGAAACTAAATCTACTCTTGGAATTATTTTATTTGAAACTGTATTAAATCTGTTGAAAAGTCTGATTCAAAATTAATTTTATCCTAGAATGTTAGAAAGAAAAATAAACGAAAGCGTGATTTTTATCAAATTTCAATTTTCGACATCTTCTATATCTGAAAATATCGAGCAAATTTTCTTGATAAAA